TTCTTGTTACATTAATAGCTTTAAAAGGTTTCAACTACTCCTTTCACACACAGGTTTAACCTCATTGTGAATTTATGCGGCACACTGTTCAACACTGCTGCAATATATTGCCGTATTGATTATGAGTTAAAGGGGAGGTCATCTGGTTTCAGCACCTCAGAACTCAGCTCCCAGTGCTGCACAGCCACATGATGAAGTCTCCTTGTGATCAGGGTGTGAGCTGAGGTTCAGCCAGATCAGCCTAAAGGCTCTCACTGATTTAAATCAGAGCTGGACAGGAGTTGGAATAAAATCTTCATCTGGGAATTCAATATATGCACCACTGTTACTAGTCATTACGCAAATAGCGTCTCACATCTAATGAGTATTGCACGGGAAGTCAAATAATAAAAACCATTCTTTTCTGGTAAAGAATCAAGAGTCAGTTATATGAATATCTAAGTTGTCAGCTTTTGCCAGGAAAATGGGGTGTCTGCCTAAAACTTCACATTCCATCTATATAGGGACATCTACATAGGACATCTAAACAACCTATAGTGTTTAGACACAGTTTCAATAAAACTGGTCTATGCAACATGGACTCGATGGCCAGCCTATCTCCTCCTTGCTCTAGGAGAGATTTAAGTATTTCTGAATGAAAAGGGTACTTTCTTTGATCAAACCCATCACATTCAACTTTAAAAGGTTCTGGAGGTAAAGCCCAACAGGTTTGCTCTTGGCACTTCCATCTGTTCCATGTTGGCAGAACCACACAAAAAAGCTGAGGAGAGAATGGTATTATTACAACAGCCTTCATTTCCACACCTCTGATCTCCTTTGCTGGAGGTACTCAGAAGCCCAACAGGAGCTGAAGCCAGAGACTGTGCAGTGGGATCCTTATGACCAGGAAGTCAGAGCAGCGGGATTTTGTTTCCACGCAGAGCAGAACTTTTCCTCATGGAGCTCTGAAATCCTGAATTTGAAGATGAAACGGTCTCCAATCAACTTCCTTCCTCTCCCAATGCCTGCCTAAGACTAAAGAGAAAGGTGCCAGGAAACAATGACTGAAATTCCCACCATGTTTCTACTGCTTAGCTTTGCCAGAGAAGATTTCTGCAGAGGTACCTTCAGGCCTCCAACTAAAAAGTACATTGGCCATTTTTTTTGGTGGATCCAGGCTTTTAAGAAGTGATCCTATACTCAACTCCTGATCCAGTACAGACACAGCTACAAAATAACATAGTCTGTACCATAGATGAGATATGATGAGTAAAAAATGATTCCCATAAATTCACCCTAAGACTTAACATTGCTCTTGAATAACATTTTTTGTATTTTCATCCATTTTAAAACACCGCTTTTGTCTCACTCTCCCTAATAAGGGTCCATTATCTCTGACACATATAAAGGGATCCCACAAGTTGTACTAGAAGTAAATTCTGTTTACTGTGACATTTTTCTTTCCATAATGCAAAAGCCTTTAGTGTTTTGGTATGATTCCCCATTTCCAAAGCCCTTTGCTGTTGACTAGTGAATTGGAAAACACTGACAAGAATTTTTTTTATCCTTCCATCTGCGTGCTAGGCAGTTGCATCCCATTAGCGCTAATGGGAGTTAGAAGTATAAAGACTCCTCCATTTCACAAGAAATATTAACCCTAGGTCTTACAGCACATATTACCCTGGATGAAGACATACTACTAGCAAACAGAATCTGCTTAGAGACTCTATGTCATCATTTACATTCCATCCTAAATCATATGCATTATAGGTATTACGGCAAAAAAAAAAACAACAACAACAAAATCATACTAACTTAGACATAGTGCAGTACTGAGTGGTACACTGTAAAAGAAAACTATACAAATGTCCAAATAACAGTTCATGCTAAGCCATTTCATCTACACAAAAAGCTGGACGTACGTGAACAGCAGAATTCATAAACAATAGAAAGAGCTCTGTCACACAACTCTCACACAATCATAGTATCTATCTCCATAAAGCTGGTCTCACATCAACACAAATTTCAGAAGGTAGAATAAAAAATAAATAAGATTCCACTACTGAACATTTTCAGTTTGGTTTCCTTTACTCCAGTCTTTCAGCAACTTATTTACTACACATATTTTTTTTAAATACTCTGCTCTTATTTCCTTGGCCCCAGCCCTAAAATTCACAGCAAGCGGATGGATAATGTATTCCTTCAAGGTCCCACATGACTTTATCAAGCCTCTGTGCTGCCTCATCAGTCGTCCTACACATTGCTGGCGCACAAGACAAAAGACTGACTTTCCTCTTTTAAAAACAAGCATACTCAAAAAGGCACATACGCATTAACCGCCTAGACAACCTCCATTAAAAAGTTTAACAATTTCACTTTATGTATTCTACAGTTATAAATGTATAACAGTTACCAAAAGACAGAGAAACAGATTTGCAAATATTCTGCTCATATTATGAAATATTTGCCATACTTGTGGCTAAAGAAATGGATTAACTATGTTTAAAGCTTAAGGGTAAAAAATATATTATTTTTTTCTTAAGATATTTCAAGTGCAATGAGTGATACTGAACTACATGCAATGCTTTTGAGAAAGATTCATCAGAATTTTTTTTAATAAAAATCCTTCAGTTTAAAGATCTGCCTACTCAAATAAATGCAGGTCAAGTTTTCAAATGGAGCAGCTTAATCCTGTTCTAATTTTCTGACACCACTGCACTTTGGTTCTGTTAAAGTTTACAGCTTAATTTAATTAATTACTTTAATCGAGGACACTTTGTAGATATACAAGCACACCTACCTCATAACACTACACTTGACCAAGCCTGAACACCAACACCCTTACAGTGTTCAGTAGGTGTTGATATTTCCCGTAATCTGTCAAAGGAGAACTAGTTCCAAGACATTCAGTAGCAAGAAAAGTGAGGGAAATATAGTTTAAAATATCAGCTTAAATTGTTTCTCCATCCAGTCCTGCTACCAGAGGACACGTAATAATCCTCTTGTATTTTGCCTCCAAAATCATCTGTGGAAATGCAGTTTGCAACATGCTAAAAGACCAAGTTCCACACAGACCCAGCAGGCTCTGTCACTGGGGGTTTTAAAAGAGAGCAACCAGGGGAGACTGGGGTCAAACAAACTCTTAGCAGATGAAGAGACAGGAGTTGGTAGGAGGAGAGGAAGGAAAGAAAGGATGAATAGAAGGAAGTACTCAGACCCTGTAAAGTTTTAAATGGGGTTTACATAGAATCATTTAAAAAAGAAAATACATGGGGGGGAAAAAAAAAACAGAATAAACATGGTGTTTCCATATACTTAGTTGAAGTCCTTGTTTATCTAGTAGAATCTCTATTTGTAAAATGAATATTATATTAAGACCTACCAAAGAAAACAGTGAAAAGATGGCATTACCGTAATGAGACACATTCTAGGGCAAAAAATAAAAAATATAACCTATGCCAGGAGCGAGATGGACAGAGTGGAAAAGGAAAGAAAAAGCTAATTGTGTTACATAAAACGTAAGCTGCACTAACATACGCAAATCCCCACTTAGTCTTTTCTTTATTAAGAACATACTTCTTTCATAAAACTTGACAAAGCTAGGGTGCCAACATAAAAACAACTAAGTTGTCCAAGTTAAACAAGCCTATATAGAGTCTAATATTTAATTATTTCCTCAACATCTGATAATTTTACATGTGCAAGGCTGTATCCGTTCAATTTAGAAAATAAAATTCTCAAGGGAGGAACTGTGGTAGCGCACTAAACAGATTTTCATCCTGAAAGCAGTTAGTTGTAACAAAATCAAAGTTAAAACCAATGTTTCAAAAAGGCTAAGCTTAAGCCAAAATAAACCAGAAAACAATAAAAAAACCTCTAAAATTCCCCAAAATAAGAATACTATCAACACTTTCACAGTCTAAACAATTTTCAAATCATACAAAAAAATGGTTTGAAAGAGGCAATAACGCCTTGCAATAACTTCGATAATTTATACTGGTTTTCTGTTTTTCCACTTTAAAACGAAAATTTTATTTCACCAGGAAGCATTTCCAAATAAGGTAAAAGTTAATTATTTAAGTAAATTACCTGCATAAAAATAAACAACAAGAACAGAGCGAGTACAGAGCCAGAAGAGAACAACTGATCTTAGCCAAAACTAATCCTAGGCCATGAAGCGTACTCAAAAAAGCTAATCACACAGAATTTCTGGAACAGGCAATATTTAAGTCAGGACTCCATACATTAACTATTGTAAATCTTGCCAGAACAGTGCTTCAAACTAGTCCTTTCCAGACACCCCTTTCCCACCTTTCTGCAGGTTGTTAAACCCATCCCTACAAAAGATGCCAGCTCCATTTCATAGGTCTGCATCTTTACTCAAATCCACCCTGATCCATGGTTTTAGCTAAGACACAAAAATTTATAAAGAGATACGACACACATTGCCTGTACCCTGTTCTGCTGTGGGGATAAGAACATATTACAGACTGGAAAGTTAATGGTGGGTTTTGTAACTCCATAACTATCGCCTCTCAGCAAAGCTCCCTGAACTCCTCACTCACCAGACAACACCATGTTAAATTCTAAGTTGGACTAACTACGAGTGGTTAGTAATGAGAACCTAATTCTGCCACCTGTTATCACACTGAACAGCAGCTTTTTATGTAATCGAACAGATTTCAGTGGGACTATATTCAAAGAAATGGACATACTCCAACATAAAGTGGTAGAACTTGTCCTTTAGAAGATTATTAGTACCTGTGTTTATCTTGAGTCTCATTATTCCCTTTGTCCTGGTATAAGAAGTAAGGAAACCCATGAATTCCCTATTGAAAGCAAATCTAGATACCTAGCAAGGTCTTCAACAGCTGCTAACTCAAAAACGAAGGAAGATTTGTTCTTACTATTATTATTATTTAAATTGCAGAAAGCCTGAAAAACTGTTACTACCTAAAAAGACTGGCAATGCCAGTGTCAAAGACAGGTTCAGAAAGGAAAATTTATTTGTAAACGCTTACCAGCAAGTAGGGATATTTTTTTTCTCAGCCCTGCTTCCTCTGCCTGTTAGCTTTAGGCACTGCTTCTTTCCTTCTCTTCAGGGACAGACTGAAAGGTAAACTTTGGCACAGTCCCTTCCCTAATATAAAAAACTAAAACAGGAATAAAAGAAAGCTCAGTCCAGAAGCATGAAAGCACATAGAAAATACTGGCAGTTCATCTTATTTTAGAAATCCATTAGGAACACGAGATAATCAGAAACATGTCATTACCGTGCTATCATGAAAGCTGGCCAGAGTTCTAGGGACATAAAACTGATACTGACAGAACAGTGAAAGACCAAAAATGCCAAGGATCATGCAAAATTAAGTCATCATCTTAAACTCTACCACCATTATAATTCACTAACACAGGTATATTGTTCTCCTCTTTTAAAGGAAATATAATCATTGCCCCACAGTTTCCCTCCCACTCCAAGAAGGCCGTCTCTTTAGATTTTCTTTGCTTCAGCTTTATGTTTAAACTGGTTTTGCTGGACAAAAAGTCCAGCCTACCAGAAGAAAAAAAAAAGAAAAAGTCATACGGATGCATAACATGGTACAAAATGGAAACACGTTACGGAAAATGGAAAGCCACATTTGCCCTCATAATATAGTCAGAAAACCAAACATGCAACCTACTTACAACCTTCTTTATCCTACTGCTTTTCACATCCATTGTAAACAGTAGTTTTGCTTAACCCTTCTCTTCCTAAAAAACACCCCAAAATATTAGCATCTTCCACATGTCCCATTCTCAGAGGTCACATCTTTTCCCAATAATACCTTTTTAACATATTATAAAAATCTTCTAGCTTTCACCGTACTTTCACATGTGTAGCCCACACCCACAACACAAAGAGTAAGAGAAGAACCAGGATCCACCCAAGCTGCAGGTTGTCTTTGATTTCCCACACCTGGGACAAGGGACTGGGTAACTAGGAAAAGCAGAGTTCTGTGCTAGGTTTGCACCAATTCTCAATGCTACAGTAGGAAGAGGTGGGGATCAATAGCATGACCTTAGCTTCGACCATATATGACAAAAATAAACTCAAGAACAAACTTTGCTCTCACAGGACCTCTTGTATGCAAGCATGACCTTTAATAAAAAGAGCTGATAATACTATTTGTAACTAACCTGTTCAATGGGAAATTACAAGTCAGCAAAAAGATACAGAGGTGTGAATCTCTACAAAGAGGTTCACAGTTGCTCTTAAACAAAAAAAAAAAAAAAAAGAAAAAAAAATCAGTCTTTGTTTTCCAACCTAATAGTTTGCTTTCTGAGCTAAAAATTTCATTCCATTAAATAAGGAAGAAAGATCAAAATAACTAAATAAGTTAGCTTGGCTGGATGACAGCTATGGAGAAATATGATGCTAGTGTAAATCACTGAGGAGGGAGAGGAATTACACAGAGGGGCTCTAATGGGCATAGCTGAAATAACTGGATGAAATTAGGAAAGAGGGTGGCTTAGGCTAAGCATCAGAAAACATTTCGTAATAGTAAAATACAATATAAAGCAGAATGTATTTCCCTCAAAGAGGGAAGTTATCTAAGACTAGATTAGATGAAACACTGGAAAGCACAGCAGAGAATACACTTCTGAACTGATGGGGTCATGGATGAGAGCACTTAATAAATCCCTTTCTTATGATCATGTCTCTCAGTAAGATTTCAGTATAATAAATGACCAGATAGTGAAATACCTTCACTTCTTGTTGGGTTCTTGTCTGGGAATACCCCGGATTTCATCAGCGTTAAGATTTGAAGCGCCTTTCACTTTTGATGCAACTATTACATACCAAATTACATGAGCACTACTAATAATTTTAATCCCCTATTACTTATGCTCCAGCCTATTGCTATAACATAAAATTATCTGTTTAATTCTGAACTTGTATAGCATTTTTCATTATGAAATTTCAAGTAACTTTACAGACATCTGTCCACTATCAGCATCTTTCGAAATTAATATGCCAAATACCAAAATGTCATCAATCCAGATGTTATCACCAGATGCTTAACATAATACATAATTAGCAGGCGACATGATGCCCATGAAATCCTCTGATGTTGCACATGGTTATAGGAAATCAAAAAATTCAAACTGGGACCAGTAAGCACAACAAAATTCAGCGTTTCCCCCAGTCCAATACCGGCAGCACCATTACCAGTGATCATGAACCAGCAAAGGTTTAGGACCAATGGTAAAACAGGTCTTCTCTTACATGACGACCAGACATTACAACAGAAAAGCCCACTACTGGTTTTTATTATTACTATTCTTAAAGTATTACTTAAAAAATTTACACTACAATTCAATTCAGGAAAAAAATGGTACAACTCACAAAAAGCTACAGACAGGAGAGTTCTCTGGTTTTCCCTCCATCTGAACTGTTAGGGTGAATTTTCCAAAAATCACGCATAGTTTAGGAACGTAGCTAAATTTGAAATATAGAAGTTTATCCTCCTGAGTACAAATGTCCTTTTATGTCCTTCTCTATAAGGTGAAGAAATAAATATGTAATTTTAAAACCTTTAAAAAGCTGCTATTCAAAGCCTCCTATTGATATTGTGGGGATCTTACTCACTGTACAGAATGGTTCAATTACAATTTATTACATTTGTAACTAAGATCCAAAATTTCCCTCAATTTACACTTCTTATTTGAAAAGTTCTACCCGAGGCTGGGTGGAATGTCACTTTGCCCAACGCTGTCCATCAAGAACTAACAGCAGTAGAGATGAGAGAGAATCAGCACTGCAGCAGCAGGGAAAAGTTATCAAATTTTCACAAATTAGAAAATAATACTTAAAAGAGATGATAATATCATGACAATCAATTATCATTCTGACCCCAAAAGAAAAATAATCAACATGAACAGCAGCATAACAAGAAAGCACATGCTCTCTCAAAGTGTTCAGTGCCATGCCATAAAGCTGAAGTAGTATACCACAAGGAACAATTCAGGCAATGTATGACAAAACATCAAATATGTACTGGAGAATATAACAGCTGTTTCCTTTCATTTCAGTCCATAGTCTCTGCAGGTATTTTGTCCAAATTTCCTTTTTTTTGAAGAAATTACAAATTAAAATATTATTAAGTATTCCAGACATCATTATCACTTTCTCAGATTGCTTGTTTACCATCAGAGATGAGAGAAGGAAAATGAGCTGGGCCTTTCTTTTCTACAAACCAAACGCCTGAAGCAAAGACTTGTGTCTAAATAAACATCCACCAATCTACTTCAACAATTACATGCATCATTGCAGTAAAGAAAAGCACAGCTTTACCCTCAGCCCCAGGGGGCGGACCATCACTTTTACATGTTAAAATCAAACAAATAAAAAACGAAAAAAAAATCACTGGGTTTTAAACCAAAGTTCTGAAAAAGAAATCATCCACCCATGTCTTGGTTGGGCCTGGCTTGATGTCTAGACTAAATTCAGGTGTGGATTCCCCTTAGGGAATAAAGGAACAGATTAAGAAAGACTTATTTTTTGCTTCCCTTAATACAGAGGCTCCAGTGTCACAGGACACAGTGGTGGTCATTTGGGTTGCATCTGTCCTTGAAATTCTCTGCTGGCTTGCAATGATGCACCTGAACAGAATGAGAGCAGACACAATGTGTACCCTGTCCTATTAAAAATGACAGATTTCGGCAACAGCAAAACTGGTGCCCATTTATGGCAGAACAGTAGGTCTTTTGAGAACATAATCCCTAGCTTCCAAGAGAAAAACCGAAATAGTACACATAAAAATAATTATTCATTCCAGACAACATCACCAATCCAACTGTACTCAAAAGGCCAGTTTATCCTTGAAAACTGTTCTTCCTTCAGTCAACTAAAGATTAAGATGGGAGGGAGAGTCAAGAGGAGGCTTTTTGCTTCTTCGGTGTGTTTACTCTGCGTGTGTTAGTACTCTGCATGTGCTTTTTGCTTATTTTAAGCAGATGAGGTTTCCATGCAACATGAGACTTTTTTTTTTTTAAAGAGAAAAACATGGTTATTAAAAAAACAACACACACAAACAAAAATTTTCAGGGAAATTCAGGAAGGAACAGGATTAGCACCTGAGGCTATTTTAAAATCATTCATAATAACTGTTCCAGTATTAAACTAATAGTGTTTACAAGATTTTCTTAACTTGCTCTGCTTTCTCTCTCATTATTCTCTCACCTTCTAGAGCTGAAGATTGCAGAATCAAAACTCCTGCTCTCAAAATAATAAAGAGGGCTGTTCTAAAACTACGTAGAATAATTTTTGCAGTGATCCATAAAATGACTTTACGTATCTTTACCAAACTCTCAAAGCTAGATTTTGTTCAGTACATGAGAGATTCGTATTTTTAAACTGTCCGAAGCACATTATCAAAACAAAATACAGGATTGCCACTGCTGCTTTTAGGGAAAATGATAAACCTGCAGACCCAAAGCGAGAGTTCTGCTTTAACACCTACTAAGCACCCCAGGGCTGCAAAGATGGAGAACGGCAAGGATGGGCAGTGGGGAATCAGGCAGACTTCACTGTTTGCACAGTGACCTCTGATAACAATACAAGTTGGCCTACAAGGAACATTTGGTCCCATAGCCCACTAAAGAGCATGCCTGCTTTTAATTTTCTCCATTTGGGTTTCCTGCATGCAAAAACCCAGCCCAGAATACGCTCTTTTGTGACTTATAAGGGAAGGCACAAAAATGTGATGCTTCTCATCGTCTCTGGGCTGCTTGCATTTTTGTAGAAGAATGTAACATTTCCTATAACATTTCCAGTCTAGGTTTTAATAAGAACGTCCAAGAAATTTGCTACGTGTGTAAAAAATCTCAGTTTTCAGAAGCCTAGAAGGGTTGCTAAAATACAATGACCGTATAAACATGCACGCAAAGATGAGTCCAAGATATCTCCATGCTTATCTGTATTATTTATAGCCAGAAATACAGCACTATTTTAGAAACATACTGTAAATTGCATCAGATGAACAAGCGGCACAAACAATACTCAAGCATGCATGTACAATAGAGTATCAGTTCAGTTAGAGGCAAGGACTGAAACGCTTTTGCCAGAGACAGAAGTAGACCATATATAAACACATACTACATATAAAACGTATTGTGGATAAAGTAGACACTTTGTAATGAATATAAAGAAATCCTATTATTGATAGTTTTAACAATCAGTACTAAGTACAGCAACAAACCTGTAAGTTACAAAGTCAGATTTAATTTGCAGTGGCAAAACTTTCAGCAGAGGAGGATGTTAAGTATGTTCTGTTTCCAGCAATAAAAGGATCAGGATGTCTCAAGTGTAAACAATAATAAAAGAGGCACTTAAGTGGAATAAGGGACCCAGCCTCACAGCAGAGGAGAATTTATCCAATAAACTGGTAAAACTTTTTAATTGCTCAGGTAACCAGTCGTTCTGCAGACTGTACAATATACAGGCATTGTGCATACAGATTCCTGCCTGGGGACTGCCTTCTTCAAGGCCAGTTTTAACACTCGTGGGTCGTGGCTACTTCACTCAAAATTCAACACACCAATTCACTTTCTGAAAACTTCGACAGATGCGGAGCCTTAGGGGAGGGCACTGATAAACGTGGTGTGCCCACTTCTCGTGCAGCTGTGGAAAAAGCCAGAAAAATGGTAAATGGAGATTTTTTGTTGAAAATAAAACAGCTGAGGCAGGAAATCCTTATTAACCTCTCTCAGAGGTTTTTGCTGCTTCATTTAAATGGTTTCTGAACTACAGGCATACAGGTCAAGCAGAAAGATTTAGATAACAGTCTTGAACATAACCGGGGATCTCAAAGCAGGAACGATTTGGGCATCACCTGCGGTGTTGCAGCTTCCGGTGCTCCTTTCGTGACTGAAAGTTTGCCACGTGCGTTTGTACAGAAACTTTTGAAGAAATGCAGTGAAATGCAAGCACTGACCAAATATTAAGTGTCTCCCGGTCAGTCCCTGACCCTGCATCAACTGACATTTACACTGACCTTTACGTTGCCCAGTCACACAGGCTCCCCTCTCCCATTTCTTCTTTCCCCCCCCCCCT